TGAGTGTTCACGTCTACTTTCCATGACATTCTAAAAAGAAGAAAATATATATGAGTGAATGATCTCTTTCATGAGTTTATTATTTTCAACATTATTTGCGAGTTGGAAAACCCAAGCTGAGTGTGTGTTTTCCATGTAAGCACTTATGAAAATGCATTTCTCTCAAGTCAATCTGTGAAATTACAAGATCATCCCAGGAGATGTGACCGAAATAAGGCCCAACGATGGCTCTTTGCTCCGTAATTACTTTAACTCTTACCAAGCGCTGTGAAGCCCTCCACTGAAGACTAATTTTGCATCAATGGGTGCAAGAATGCGACCTTCTGTAACACTGCATATGGTATATTAAACATTTTCTAACTATGTATACAAGAGTTCAATATGCTCAATATAAGCACAGAAGACAACTCATCTTCTTGGTTCTTTCGGTAAAGTCACGTAGAAGGGAAGTAATAAAATAATAAAAATAAAACATAATAAAATAATTCTCACGACGTTTCGGCCACAACGCAAGCAGCTGTCCTCAGGTGAAGAACAGGTCTGTCGATAAGACAGAAGACAACATTATAATCATGATTGCTCGTGTATCGCACACTGCTTCGCATGCAGCGTGGATTTTGCGAATGCACACCTTATAAAAACAGCATTGGAATATGAAACATTCATTTGTTACGTCACGTAACACACTTGCAGCACATGTGTTTGGCATGCAGCTTGTGCATGGAAAGGAAAACAGCTGTTCAGGAGCACCTATTAATGTCAGCGCTCCCATAACCCCGTGATAATAATTAATAATAATAGTATTGTCAATCACTTTATCAGCCCACTAACGGACAAAGACCTCCATAATTGAGGTTTTGGGTTAGATCGCGTAAATATAAATTCGTCGTGAAACCCACAACCACTTAACACAGCCAACTAGTAAGGCTTGTCACGTGCCAATTCGTTACTAGTACAGCACACCGGTGTGTTGGTGAGTAAACTCACAACATTTACAATTCGACTACGACGTATCGCTAGTGATTACAACCAGCATCATCAGGCAACAGCCAGCGTTGTGTCACCTGTATCGGGTAGTGGCGGATTTAACGACAGATTTATATTTACGAAATCTAACCCAAAAACTTCTATTATGGATAATATTGGTCGCGAAAGCCTACGTTTTAAACGGAGGAAGACCTCTTAATGCCTTTTCGGACACCGTCATGGTTGTTTGACCATACTTCACCATGCAGATCACTGTGGCTTGGAGAAGAGAAATCCCGGGACCGGTCGAGATATCAATCGCTAATGACCTCAGCTTTGGTCAGGAATCGAACTTGGCTGGCCAAGTTCATAGTTCAGTGCCCTAATCAGTGTGCCACCGCCCCAATCCCAGAAGCAGGTACACCTCACCATATTTGTCTTCGCCATTCCCGATATTCACAGAGACTCCACCAAGTTACTTCTCAATTTTATTTCTCAATTTTAGGTGACAATAGAAGACCAGGTTATGATAAGAAGTGCAAATCGTTTTGACGGCCAGCAACTGAGCGCAGAGCATCGGGTCTGCAACTCAATGCGCCAGCCACTTTGCAACCACTTCCTACACGTGTGTAGAGAATATGAATAGAAAAAATGAGTTTCTCACTTTTACCATCTTCAAGATCCTCCATGGACTTGCCCCTACATTTTCCTCCCCTTTAATTGCATTGTACTCATTTCCTCCTGCCTCGTTGCCCCAGAAGCAAGGATTTCTGTCAAAGCCCCCCAGTCACTCTTCGCTCAGTGGGAGGTCACTCTTTTTCCCCTGCTGTCCACATGGTCTGGAACTCCACCAAGCGATTATCTGTGATGTCAACTGGCTCCACCCCCTGTTGAAATCCAGGCTAAAGAACTATATCTTCTCCTCTAGTCTATGACTGTCTATTATTTTAAAAATATACACTTTGCATAGTCTCCTCTCTCCCAATGCTATGCACATCTCGGTGTTTTGTTCAGTGTCTTGAGATGAATATGCTTTGGTGTTTTACATTTTCAAATCGAAGTATACTCTAAGTAGGAATGGCACTCATGTCGAATAGCAGCTAGGATGCTTAACTCAATCCAGACAAATTGAGTTTTGACTCCTGGTCAAAGCAAACCATGTATTGATCACATTTGTGCTTTTGACACTGCATTCATCAACTGAGCAGGACTGACAGAGCAATTGTGTAGCAAGTAGCTAATTAAGAGTGAAGCGTATTATTCAAATTAAATAAACATAATGCAAGTGATATTAGTAAAGCAGAACAGACTTTTTTAGTATATTATCGAAAGGCCCGAACAGTAACGTCTAGACTATGGCACAGATAAACTAAACAACTATACGTAGAATGGCTTTTTCAATCACTGCAGATTTTTAATTTTTGGAGAAATATACATAGGGAATGCGTTACACGATGTAGAAGTGTGTGGGAAAATACTTACTGGCATTGCGAGTAGTTCTAGTAGCATAAAGCGTCAGTGCACTAGTAATTTGAATATTGAAGCGGGGTGAGATGAACACGCTTGTGATAGTTTTATATGAGTAAATTAACATGCATTAACGATCTCTGGAGAGCAATAACTGGAGAAATAGTGGCGGCAGAAGAATAGTGATGCTTTAATTCATGAATGGTGCATGGAATGCAGTGAAGCAGTTCATGTCTCACGAATTATTTAACGGTTAAGGTGAACTATGGCTGCCTGTGTTTGCACATTGCTGCCACAAATGAGGCTGGAGACTCCAATGCCACTGCGTGGGTTTTTCACGGTTGTGTCTAGTTTAACTCTGCTTGAGAGCTCCTTCAAGAACTTCTTAAGTCCCTAAGGGAGCAGCACCTGGAGAGAAACGTTGGACATGCCTGACCAACCCAAGGTACAACACACAAAAAAACACATCGGTTTATTCAAACTCTGCCTTTGTTGTTGTTGTTTTTATGCGCAAGGACATAACGCAAATTTAAGTCCGGTGTTCATAAGCCTATAAAGGATAATTATACAGCTAATGTGGGCTGTGCTATTCGTTAAAATTGTATGTTGAACTTATTTCCCCGTGCACGTGTGTTCATACACACCCTGCGTACATGTGTTCGTTAACGAGGCTCAGTCAGAATGGTAAACGTTAAATATGAAAAGTGCACGTGTCCACTTATCACTTTGTTCACAATGTTATTAATATCAATTTAGAGACCCCCCTTTGACTGCTGAATAAAGGCCTCACCACGCCCTGTGGTTTGGTGAAGGTGAGGGCCGAGAACCAATTCAGTTATCATTTACAGACCGATGGTAGCCATGGCCAGGTATTGAATTCAAGTTTCTGGCTTCAAGACACAGTATGTGAAAGAAGTTCAATATGCATACACTGTACATAACCAACCGTGCTAATCGAAGGTGCAGGGGAAGGACAACAAACTAAACACAAAACGCAGTTGTAAACAAATGAGTTTTCAATCGAAACTTTAAAGTGCAAAGCTCCAGTGGCATCCGAATATCAAGAGGAAAAGCATTCCAGACGTCCACAGAAGCGCATCTGAAAGGGCGAAGCAGTGACCGTCTTTGTTCGATGGCTAGCTAAAATCCGCCGCGAGGATGACCGGAGAATGCTCCTTGATGCGATCAGCAAGGTAATTGTTGGTAATGGACAACAATTGCATCGTGTTTAGTGACATGTGTTAGGGGATTATGTCATATTGAACTCACAATTATGTCATACAGGGGCAAATGAGATATAAATGAGGGACCAAAGTGATTGGAAGTCAGAAATGAAGGGGAGATTCAAAAATATTTCCCATATTTAGAAATTCAACCCTGCTGTTATGAATGCAATTATAAATTCACAGTAACACGATCCTTGCAACCTCTAATATGTTCTACACAAAGACGATGGGGCTCCAAAAATAGATTTTGGTCTCCATGATTTCCAGCGATGTCACAATGCACAGTGTGATCACTGAATGCGTTGTCAATTAATTGGTGTAGTTGTGTTGCCACCCTGTATTCAAGCCGGGAGCTGGGATAGAGAAACATGAGATTTGTTCTCACAGTAACCAATTTCATTGTCACGTTAGCACAGAGGGATTCAGTGTCCAAATAATGATATGTTGATACAATCGATTATAGACAATACATGAGCTAATTCATCAACAAGAAAGTGTGTGTTACTTAGCACAACAGAATTACATTGAATCTACTTCATCATCAGCCATGGTCTATCCACTGCCGGATGTAAGCCTCCCAAAGCTGCCGTCGCCTCTCATGATCGTGAATATAAAAGATCCACCGAACACCAGCACACATTACGTCATCACTTCAATACAATTACTAATACACTTAATGGGTTTTCGGGATCAATATAATTATCGTAGCATGTTTTAAACAAGGCATAAAGCAGGGTGTGCAATATCAAAACGGAAAGGTAATTTTGTTGCAATTAAGTTTGAATCCTCGCAGGGTTTATAGTTGACTTTTGCTTATAGCATCGAGTTAGATAGCAGCATTGATTTGATAGGCCATACCCTGTATGGCTTAATAGGCAATAACCCTGAATTTAAACACATTCTCATGAGATAATAAGTATTTGCAAGGTCCAATACTTGATACATTAAATGTCACTTAATTTCGACAATGAAACAAATGCCATCACCCGTTTAATTATTCAAACAAAATAATGTCCACTTGTTTTATATCGGATCAGAGAGGTGGCTCAGTGGTAGAGCAATTGGCTCGGAATCGGAAGGTTGCGAGTTCAAACTCTGCTTGGGGGTTGCCTTCGCCCATCATGCCTTTGGGGTCATTATAATAACTACCACTTTGTTGCAGAAGTCAATAGTGGTTGTCCCATGGATAGATTTGCCCCTGCTATAGGAATGTGAAATGTATGCAAACAGGAGCTCAGTTTCATCTAATTGCTCTTTTTTTTATTTGGGTCGTCCATTCCTTTCAGAGAGGGAGGGGAGGGAGGGAGGCCGATGAGGGAGACTGGAATTGCTCGCGCTGACCTGCACAATGGCGTACTCGACGAGGGAGGCGAACGTGAAGACCAGGCACATGATGAGCCAGATGTCGATGGCTTTCACGTACGACACCTTGGGGAGCTCGGCGGCCAGCGACATGCTCTCCGATGACAAGCTGAGCACCGAGAAAATACCTGCCGAGCATGACCTTCACTTACTCGAGGAAGCAGAGCATTCCTCGACATACACCGCGTCACTCACGCGCCGCGCACGTGCATGGTTGTGCGTGTTTGTGTGCACCGTATTATAATATGGGGAGCGGTGGTGTCGCAGTTAGCGCGCTGCGCTACGAACCCGGCGACACGAATTCGATTCCCGCTCACGGTCAACGCCAGTGATGATTATCTGAACCGGTCCTGGGCCTCCCCTAGGTTTCAGCCTTAAGTGAGTACCATGTTTCATGTGTAAACATTGCCACTGGTGAGACAAAAGCGGCCGAGCGTGGTGCTGGCCACCCACCCCCCTTTTGTGCTGTGCCCGGCCTTCATAGGTGCTCACTAAATGTACTTTCCTCACAAGTCTATCAAGGCTATACGGGGCATGTATGTCCGTGTCTTTTTACACCACATAATAAGCGCGGATTATATTATTTGTCGGGTAGCTGGGAATTGGGGGTAATCATGACAGTAGTGCAGGGTCACACCAAGCCTATATTAAAATGCATGTTGCATCTCCAGTGATATTATTCATATGCCTTAGATTGAAGGAGCACAACACAAGAACATTTCTATGATGCCCTTGGTTGTTTTCACTTTGAGTCCTTATAATGGAAAAATAAAACGAATTTCCAGCCTGTCAATTCGCTGCTGGTTGAGGGCCACCCCATGCTATGTCAGTCATGGGGACGGCTTGGCCATATTTTACTCTGCTGCAGAGTGGAGGTTGGTAAAAGAGTGGCGTTGGGGGGGGGGGATACTCGTGACTCATGTTAGCCATGGTCAGCAATTCAGAATCAGAATCTTTATTTAGACTGTAGGAGGAATCCGATGAGCCATGATGCTCTTTTTCACAGGTGTCCTGTACGGGGCATGGGGTAAGCAAAGTTACAACAGAAAACAAGACAACAATAAAAAAAATACATGAGGGCAAAATATAGAACATAGTAAGCGAGTCACTATATATATATAATTAATCATATAAGTCTGATTTATAAAAATTTGACGAGGCAGCAAAAACAACCAAAACACAACAACACAACGGTCCCAGGCCCCACCGAGATAATACAGCAGTAAGTCCCTCAATACAATGGCATATTAACATCCTGTCGCCAGATCCATACTACAGTGTGCTAACCACTGCACCGCTGCTCCACCCCAGCAAAACTTGGATACGGATGTTATTTATTCCAATAACAATTTGACTGGACCACATGCATGGATGTATTTTTCACATATAAAGTAAATTACACATCTGATCATTACTTTGCCTTATTTGCGATATTAGATTAAATAAATACAGTGTCTAGAGAAGTATTTATACTGTCATGTTGTGCAAACTAAAATGTGTCGAATGGATCTAAATAAATAACTAATGCATCAAATAAATGTGTTTTGCAAAGCATTGCAAAGCTCCAGGTACTTGATGAAATAGATGTCCAACGTTTTGCTCTGTGCGCTTTGAGCTTTATCAGGAATTAAATGCACTTTCTGAAGAAGCTTCCAGCACGTGGAGCTAAACGTCGGTCATCGTGCTGGAAAGCACGTGGTACAGCCCCTGAGCACACAGCGTAACCGTGGAAACCTACTCAGTGGCATTGCGACAAAAACTGCACGTTTTATAGCGTCCCATTTTAAAATATCTCCTGTCAATCTGTCACAGTAGACGGACAAGAGAAATCAAGGGCATGGCCAGGATTGAGGTTGCTGTGCAGGAATTTGCATTATTATTGTTGCAATAGATTGGCCCCAGGCTCCTTTAGGAAGCAGAATACCGTGTAGGTAGTAAATAGGTTAGTTCCAGGTGGGGGCTCCCCTTCTTCAAATTATTCCTGCTGCAGCACTGACAGATGTGCAACAGTGGTGTGACAGGTGGCTCATATACATCGTGACCCTTTGCAATGCAATTTTAAACAGAAGAGCGGGGTCATGTTATCATATCAGTTGCCCATTACAATGCGAAGAGGTTCCACTTATTCCCATGCCTTGGTTGTGGCGGTGTTTGGAATAAATGGGTGAGTGGGGGAGTGGAAGCGTAGACCATCATGCATTGTATATCAAGTGCGGTCAAAGTGTAAAAAATACATTCTTGACATGAACGTTCTGTGGATATTTTAAATTAAAAAAAAAATCGAAAGTGAGCCCTGAAATGTTACGTTTATAATGATATGCATAATATTGAAAAAAACCAGCCGAGAGCCCAGTGTGAGAGGTCTCATTTGTATGAGAGACCTGAGAAATTCTGCAGAACAAAAAAATGGGGCAATGGAAAATGCTCGATAAAATACATTCCACAAAACAGAAACAACAAAAACAAGCACTTTGGGGCATGACCAAAAACGGTAAAGGTGCAACCTTTCAATTGCTTGTTGACATCACTGTTGACAGAGGGTTTTTGGCCTACCCTTCCATGCTGGACATACGTCTTAAAAAAACGGGAATACCCACACTTTACATGACAATACACGACCTGCTGATGCACTAAATGCTGCGTATCCATTTCATAATCAGAAGATGTATTTATCCTAGAGGAATCAGATGAGCTATGAAGCTCCTTTTAACAGACGTATTTTTAACTACTTTTGCACTGTATGTATCCAAATGTGCTTATCAGAGGTGCAGGGGAAGGACAAAAAACTAAACACAAAATGCAGTTCTAAAGAAATTATTTTCAAACTTAGATTTTAAAGTCCATAGCTCCAGTGGCTTCCTAATGTTAGAAGAGCGTTCCAGACGGCCACAGAAGCACATCTGAAAGCGCATGATGCGGTGAACATTTTTGTTTGATGGTGAGCCATAAGCCGCTCCTGCGAGGATGACCAGCTTTTGCGTGACGATTTATCTTCCTTGACGAGATCAGCAAGGTATTGTGGTTCATTTGTGGCAAGCACTTGTTGTGTTATAATGTGTCTGTTTGGCAACCGGAAACCAATGCACGGCGAGTGCTGCTCGGTGGGAAGAGGCAGTGGAGGGGATTTTAAGAAACTGACACCGTTGTCTCAACTGCCACGGTGGGATATTGAACTGAATGACCTCTGGATTGCAAGTGATAACCATTCGCTTCTAAATTCGAGAACGATTTGCTCCCAAGTGGCACTTGGTATCGGAGTCTTGCCTGGCCCTCCTCTGGGTCAATCTAGCTAAAAAAACGTACCTAGTGAAGTGTGTCCACGTGGGAGTGGGGCGGGGAGTCGCTGATGAGAGAGAGATAACTGACCATGGTCGCGGCTACAATCACCCCCCCCCCCCTTTTGTGTGCTAAGTTATCTCTCACAGTGCTTGCTCCAAGACCATATATATCATGTATATGCATCCACACAACCATGTCCAGAGAAATTCGATGCCTTGGTACGTAATGTTGTCTTCGGGTCACCTTCCCGTCTCTCATCAGCATTGTCCAAGCTAGCCACTTTACCAAGGCCTAGATTGTAACTAATGTTATAATTTCAATAAACACTGCTTTTGTCCATGTTTTATTTGAGACAAAGACCACGTAAAATTATATTTCATAAAACAAATAGAAGACTAAGCTATTAACCACAACATATTTCCATGTTCCCTACATTTAGTGTTTACCATTCGATTCCCAAACCAGAGAACGCCAAAAGCAATGCAAGTATCAGAACACTTATAGCTCGGGTTGATCAGTTACATCTATAGGATTTTTTTCCAGTATTCAAAATGATAATAAAAATATCAATAGGTTTCACCCTTTTTGGCAATAAAACAGGAGGTGTTAAGACGCCACCACTTGTAGTGCCATTGCTGCATGAATGCACTCATTGAGAAAACGTTCACTGCCTTGTAGTCCAACAAAATATAATTAACATGGAATTACGGAATTGTCTGTGCTTGCAAAGCTCCTTATGCAGAACATATGGTGCTTAGTGCTAAGTGGAATGTGAAAAGCAATGCCACCGCCTGTCCTCATAATGAGCTAAACATGTCAACGTTGTCTCTCGTCTCCGTCTTTCCTTGGCAAGGTTGTTATAGCAGAAGGTATTTTTTGGAAGGCGATGGGAGGTTTACGAGTGCCGATTATGCCCAACCGTATCCCGGCTGTGAACTATGAGCATCAAGAGAAAGGGTGAAGCATTTTACTATTTCATACAACCTCCTTATGTATGCTGAACTTCTTTCGCATCCTTCGTTGTCAACCGCGCTTATTGGAGGCGTGGGGGGGAATGCAAACAAAATAAAACACAAAAATACTTTTAAATAAATTCGTTTTCATTCCAGATTTAAAAGTACATAGCTCTAGCGGCTTCCTAATATTGGAAGGAAGAGTGTTCCAGACAGTATTGTCTGGTTTACTGTGCATTTATTCGGTATCTAGATGCCGTTGGGTGGTAGGGTAGCACAAATGTGATGCTTTTGCCTCACAATAAAAAGTGCCTAGGGTTAATTCCCGACTCGGGTGCCTAACTGCATGGATTTTCATCGATAAATGTGAATAATTTGATTCACCGATTTAACCCGCACATCATTGCGGGTAGGAGAGGGTTGCACTGTAGCTCTGAACCATGGCTGTTTGCATATTGGTAAAATTTTAGAGTGATTTATGGAAATTCTAGATTTGATTCTAGATTTGAAGTTTTCATGACTGCAAGGGTCCATAATCTTTGTTTTTTTCGGTAAAATCACGTAGGTAAAAAAGTAAATACAATTATATTAAAGCACGACGTTTCCGAGGTAACACAAGCTTCCGTCTTCAGGTGGCACCGTCACAGCAAAATTGCTGTATGAAGTAGAGAGAACTCTAAGAAATACGAGACTATATACAGGTTAAGGGGGGGGAGGGGCCAGGATGGGCCGTGGGGGAGGTTTAAGTTAAGCCTCCTTTTGTTATGCTGCAGGGGGTTTAAGGAGGGCGCCGTGTGTAGGCGATGGTAAGTGGTTAAAAAAGGAGGACAACTAAACAAGAGGCAGTATTTAAGCTGACAAACTGGTTACCTTGCAGTATATTGCAGTGAACTATA